GACATTTGAAGCTAGAATGGCACAACTTGTTTCTTCAAGAATTTATATAGGTTGAAAAATCAATTATCTAACAGTACTTCACTGAGAGGTTAATAATAAGATTTCTAATGGAATTGGACATCACTTGATAAATACCAATAGCCCTTTAAATTTGGCCTGAAGAGATTCAGGCATGCCTTCACACAGCTACACTGGGATCACTGTCAAAAAAAATTTTTAGATGATGCATTATGGATCTAAGAACAGACAAACATTTCTTTCTGTATTATGATTATTGTTGTAAAGGTTAAAATTTTCTGGGTTATTTGAAGGTATTAACTTGGAGGTGAATCTCAAATTTTAGTTAATGACTACTAAACCAAAAAAAGGGGGTTTAAGGTTACAAAGTTTGAAAAGTGATTTTTTAGGGCTTCCCTGGTGGCGCAGTGGTTGAGAGCCCTCCTGCCGTTGCAGGGGACACGGGTTCGTGCCCTGGTCTGGGAAGATCCCACATGCCGCGGAGTGGCTAGGCCCGTGGGCCATGGCCGCTGAGCCTGCGCGTCCGGAGCCTGTGCTCTGCAATGGGAGAGGCCGAAACAGTGAGAGGCCCACGTACCGCAAAAAAAAAAAAAAAGTGATTTTTTAAAATGAAAAGGTACTTCTAGGATGGAGGAAAAGATGATTGTGGAGTGGTGTTGTTACTTAATATTTATTTTTATATAAATATGAATGGATTTCCCATTGGTAGTTAATATTCTTGTGCCATTCAGAATCTTTGTGCTAACTTTCAATAGTTTTGTCTTCCTTTACAAGATTTCTTCCAGGAAATGTATTTCTTCCTCTTTTCTTCTTTATAAAGACGACCCAGTTGCCGTATTTTTCTACTTTTCCACCATTCTTTGCTATCATTAATATGTATTCGTTGAACAATTTAGTAGTAATAAAAACTTGGACTAATATAAATTTATGGAAAATTTAGTTTTTGGTACTTATTTCATGGTATGTTTACAATTCAAACTAGTCATTCATTTAGGAAATTTATTGACTTTAAAATTGTCAAATCCTCAAAAGGTGAAGTTATATTTGCTGAGATCTTATTACCAGGTTATAATCATTGTTATGCAATTGGATTAGTTTTGGTTAATATTAATTATCCATTAAAGTTGGCAGTTTCACACCTTTGTTGTCCATCTGAAAAACTAGGCAAAATCATCATGCTGTTAGTACTGAAAGTAACAATGTTATTTTCATTTTTCTATGAAGGCTCCGAAAAACATCCCAATGGAAACAAAAACTATGATTGCTTTCAGTAAAATATTAGTAAAACGTATATTATTATCTTTTGATTATTCAATTTCAGTAATGAATTTCAGTTGCATGACTATGATTTTAGAAATTGCAATTTTATTATCAAATTACCTTGGTATGATGATACTAATGTAATTTCATTTGTAGGGGAATATTACGTTTACATTGCCTAAAGTACAAGAAAGAACACCTGAGAAGACTATTTCTTGATATGTTCCTTCTTTTTCAGAAAACTTCCTTTCTAAGATTAGAACTGTAATTCTATTTTCTAGTGTAACAATAAGTGATTAGAGAAGTTAGGTATCACTTCAAGTACCTTTGAGACTTGTGGTCAGTCAGGCATACAAATAGATGAGAATGAGAAATAGTTGTTTATTTTGGTAGCCACTATTAATATTTCTGTTCTCCCCCTTCTGGGAACACTGGAGGATTTCACTTCCCTGCTACCTTGAGCTGTGATTTTCTTTGATCAATGAAATGTGCATGATGTATTTCACTTCCAAGCAGAAGTAGATAATTGCCAGTGCAGGACTGTCTTCTGCTGTCTTTTCCCGTTGCAGCATTTATGGAAGTACAGGTTGATGTTGAGATGCCATAAGATCAAAGCATTCTAGGATGCTGAGCCAGCATGTGGAGAAAAGCTGTCCTAGGCAGTCTTCCATAACCACAGAGGACTTTGCAGAAGTGAGAAATAAAATTGTGTTTACTTTAGAGGTAAAATGGAAATAGTCAATATACAGCAACATGGTCATTGGGTTCCATTGCCATTAAGCTAATGTGAATAGAATACATTTTAAGAGGAGAGCATTACAACAGGTAATACAACTGATAGGAGAACATTATTATTCACCCTTGCACTAAGGTATCTGACCATTAAGTAGATGAGGTAACTTGGATTCCATGGAAAAAATTATTGTGTAGTGATTTATTTTTATATAAAAAGCAGGAGAAGAAAAATAATAAATGGAATTTAAAATGTTTTTGGCACCTCTTCTTCTTTTTTTGTTTTTCTTACCTAACATCCATTTCCCCTTCTTGTTTTTTTCCTTCTGGGGCTTTGTTGTAGTTTTGTGAAAGACCTGAATGAGGATTTTTCAAGAATAAATGCTCAGACACATAAATCTTAAGGAATTGACAGTTTGCTTTGATAAGGGCAAAGGATATAATTGTAGCAATGGATAGTATATTAGATTTGTAGTGCTGCTGCAACAAGTTACCACAAACTTGGGGGCTTGAAACAACAGAAATTTATTCTCTCACAGTTCTAGAGGCCAAAAGTTCAACAAGGTGTTGGCAGGGTGACGTTCCTTCTGAAGACTCTAGGGGAGACTTCTTCCTTGCCTCTTCCAGTTTCTGGTGGCTCCTGGCATTCCTTGACTTGTGGCAGCATACCTCCCATTTCTGCCTCAGTCTTCACATTTCCTTCTTTCATGTGTCTCTGTGCATCTTCTCTTTTCCTGTCTCTTATAAGGACACCTGTCATTGGATTTTTGGCCCACCCAAATCTAGGATAATGCTAGGGTTAGGGTTACCTTATTTATATCTGTAAAGATCTCTATTCCAAATAAAGACACATTTTTAAGGTTCTGGGTGGATATATCTTTTGGGGGCTACTATTCTAACCACTACGGATACAAGCTTGGTGGTATTTGTTGAGCATGGCTTCTCAATCTCTTTCCCCATTAGGGGAAATGTGCTTGGATTTCTGGCAATGGTACTCTATCTCTCTGAGGGAAGGGAGAGAGACATTCTAGGTCCTCAGAAACCCTGAATAACAGCAGAATGTACCTCATACCTTCAGACATGTCATTCTCAAAATCTAGCAAAATTACTTTATAGGATTGCAAAAATTCCCTTAAGCGAGCCGTGTTTCCTAGAGCTAATATCTGGATTCTAGGCATAATTCCTTAATATGTCAACAGTAGCCAGAGTGGCCACTGATTATAAAAAAGCTACGGGGTGTTACTAATATGCAGTTGCATTGCAACTATGTAATGATATAATGGCCAGTCTGCAGCTATGTGCAGTTTAAGCTCCAGGAGAAATTGGGTACATGAGTTCTTGCACTGGTCTTCATGAGAACCAACCTCCTCATTTTCAGTCCACATAATTTAGGCATGCCTGATTTCATCTCCTGGCTTCAAGGATGCATAAGCAACCAATGTCTGGCCAATGTGAGAACCATCACAACTATTGACTAAAGGAAAGATACATCATCTAAACTGGGTCAAAGGAAGTGATATTCTAGGATTTTTGCTGGGGATATTAGGAAAAGGGCATTTTTTTTCTGCTGAGAGTTACTAAATGTGGCCTGAAAATAGGTAGCCTATTACTTTGGCCATTTTTGCTCTTCCTGAAACTGGTAAATAATTGTCTATTTCCATGCATAAGACAATAAATGATGCTCTGCTTTTTTGCTTAAGTCAGTTTACTTGGGTTTCATTGTTAGAGTATGATTAATATAAGTATATACTTTATAGATGGTGTGAATAAGTATCTTAAGATATTGGACTAAAGGGAGAAATTAGCATTGGTTTTCAGTACTAGGAAAAGCTAGTTTTTCTTTAGCAGGGATTTTTCTTTTCTTTTATAGACACTATAAATCTTGCAGTTAATTTTGTTTTCCTCTTTGCTGAAAACAAAGTTTGTGACCTTCTTAGAGTAACTGAAAATAACTTTTATGCATTTTGAACACTGACCCACCCTCAATTAATTTTATTTTATTCCTATGTTATCTTGATCATATTTTCATATTCTTTGTGTATGAACGGGACAGGTAAGAATTATTAAAATAAGATATTCTCAAATAATTAACACTAAAAAGAGGTCAATTATACTGTTCTTGAATGAAAATCCAAATGTAGTAGAAAAGGGAACATTCTTAATTAAGAATACATTATCCAAATGAGGAACAAATGAATTGTTAATTTACAAACATCTGTGAACAGTTCAGAAAACAAACTAAAAATGGAATATATAAATACATTTTCAATTTATAAAGTATAAAATAAATACCCTTTGATTCCTGTGTGTTTTATGTGAAGAAACCGAGAAAAAATTCTGTTATATTCAAAAGAACTGAAAGCAGGGTCTCAGAGATATTTTCACACCCATGCTCATAATAGCACTATTCACAATAGCTAAGAGGTGGAAGCAACACTGATATCCATGGACAGATGGATGAATGGATAAACAAACTGTGGTATATACATGCATCAGAATATTATTCAGCCTTAAAAAGTAAGGAAATCCATCACATGCTACAACATGGATGAACCTTGAGGACATTATGCTAAGTGAAATAACCCAGTTACAGGCAAATACTGTAAGATTCCATTTATGTGAGGTACATAGAGTAGTCAAATTCATAGAACCAGAAAGTAGAATGGTGGTTAGAGGGGTGTGGTGTGGTGGGAAAGGGGATTTGTTTTCTAATGGGTATAGATGGAGGTTCATGTCTGCAAGATGAAAGTTCTCAAAATCTGTTTCACAACAATGTGAATATACTTAACATACTAAATTGTATACTTAAAACTGGATGAGATGGTAAATTTTGTTATATGTTTTTAACACAATTAAAGGGGGGAATGATATATTTCAGAGTTTAAAATAAATATTTTCCCTACATGAAAGCTATCAATAAACTTAGACTAGACAATTGTTTAATTTTAAATCTACAGAATAAATAGTAGAGCCTACGTTTTGGCCACATGATGTCGCTGTCTACTACAGTGTATTCTGTAGGAAGAAAAATACCCAGGGCCCTCTTGTCACTCCAGAGAGACAGAACAATAAGAGAAGCAGCAGGACTTGAGCAGAGACTAGAGGACAATATTTAAAATTTTGCAAAACATGATATTCTAATTTGATCAACTCGCTGAGTATTGGTGATGGTGTCTTCTAAGAGTAGGGGCGGAGAGGTCGGGTGTCTGCTACTCTCGCTTCTGCTCCTCGCTGCAGGGGAGGCCAGGAGCAGCCAGGTCCACTACTCCGTCCCCGAGGAGGCCAAACACGGCACCTTCGTGGGCCGCATCGCCCAGGACCTGGGGCTGGAGCTGGCGGAGCTGGTGCCGCGCCTGTTCCGGGTGGCGTCCAAAGGCCGCGGGGACCTTCTGGAGGTAAATCTGCAAAATGGCATTTTGTTTGTGAATTCTCGGATCGACCGGGAGGAGCTGTGCGGGCGGAGCACGGAGTGCAGCATCCACCTGGAGGTGATCGTGAACCGGCCGCTGCAGGTGTTCCATGTGGAGGTGGAAATAAAGGATATTAATGACAATCCGCCAGTATTTCCAGTGACAGTAAAGACTATCCGGTTTCACGAATCGAGGCTGCTTGACTCGCGGTTTCCTCTAGAGGGGGCGTTTGATGCAGATGTCGGAGTAAATGCTCTTCTCTCCTACAAGCTCAGCTCCAGTGAGTTTTTCTTTCTAGATATACAGACAAATGATGAACTAAGCCAGTCTTTGTCTCTTGTGCTGAGGAAATCTCTGGACAGAGAGGAAACTGCCGAGATTAATTTGTTACTGGTGGCTACTGATAGGGGCAAACCTGAGCTCACAGGCACCGTTCAATTGCTTATTAAGGTATTAGATGTGAATGACAACGAACCTACTTTTGACCAATCAGTTTACAAAGTACAATTGTTAGAGAACATCGCAAAGGGATCCTTGGTGATTAAATTAAATTCTTCTGATGCAGATGAAGGATCAAACAGCGAGATTGTGTATTCATTTAGTAGTGATGTGTCCCCCAATATAAAGACCAAATTCAAAATAGATCCCAGTTCAGGGGAAATCAGAACTAAGGGACAATTAGATTATGAGGAAGTGAAATCTTATGAGATTCAAGTCATTGCGTATGACAACGGGATTCCACCAATGTCTGGGCACTGTAAAATTTCAGTAAAACTTGTGGACATCAATGATAACACACCAGAAGTCTCAATCACGTCTCTTTCACTTCCCATCCGAGAGGATGCTCCGCTGGGAACAGTCATCGCCCTCATCACGGTGTCTGACCGCGACTCCGGTGCCAACGGGCAGGTGACCTGCACCCTGACCCCCCATGAGTTCTTCAAACTGGTGTCCACGTTCAAGAATTACTATTCGCTGGTGCTGGACAGCGCCCTGGATCGCGAGAACCTGGCGAACTATGAGGTGGTTGTAAAAGCGCGGGACGCGGGCTCACCTTCCCTGTCGGCCACAGCCAGCGTGTCCGTGGAGGTGGCCGACGTGAACGACAACGCGCCCGCGTTCGCGCAGCCCGAGTACACGGTGTCGGTGAAGGAGAACAACCCGCCCGGCTGCCACATCTTCACGGTGTCGGCGCGGGACGCGGACGCTCAGGAGAACGCGCTGGTGTCCTACTCGCTGGTAGAGCGACGGGTGGGCGAGCGAGCGCTGTCGAGCTACGTGTCGGTGCACGCGGAGAGCGGCAAGGTGTACGCGCTGCAGCCACTGGACCACGAGGAGCTGGAGTTGCTGCAGTTCCAGGTGAGCGCGCGCGACGCGGGCGTGCCGCCTCTGGGCAGCAACGTGACGCTGCAGGTGTTCGTGCTGGACGAGAACGACAACGCGCCCGCGCTGTTGCTGCCCGGGCCGGGCGGCGGGGCGGGAGCGCTGAGCCAGCTGGTGGCTCGGTCGGTGGGCGCGGGCCACGTGGTGGCGAAGGTGCGCGCGGTGGACGCGGACTCGGGCTACAACGCGTGGCT